CGTTAGTTCTGGATTGGGGCTGGTTGTTTGATGTCGTCCCATGGCTTTGTTGGAAATGTAAATAGGTTTAAAGCTCTATGCCTGAAAGAACAGAAAAAAATTCAAAACTACCATTGTTTAAAAAATTTACAAAACTACCACCATACCGAAGAAATGCCAAATCTACCACTGTTTATCAAAAACAGCTCTACGCAGGGGCGGTTTACCATGGAACCGCCTGCCAGACAAGCAGTTTGTCTTTTTTGGGAAAAAAGCTATTCGAAGGAGCGGTTTCAATGGATGCTCTAGCAGAAACCGTGTCCTCTGGCAGCGGTTATGTGTCGGCAAGGTAAAACGCTCCACAGGGAAGCGATTTACCATGTCGATGCACATAACCCCCCCTAACGGTTTGTGCCTCGTCACCCGACATCCGAAATGTCGGCATGCAGGAGTGTCTAGGGGTGGGGGCTGCATGGCAGACTAAAATCGCTCCCCCCCTATGGTTTGCAGTGTAAAATTTGCTCACAAAAGGTAGCTCCAGAAAACTCAAAATCTTCACTCCTCTCCTTCTTCTTCTTCTTCTTCTTCTTCTTCTTCTTCAAATTTCAGTTGTGCACCTTTAATTATTTAGTTTTTGCGATTAACGTTAATTCGTAAGTTTGTTTTGTATTACTTTTTATTGTCATTTGTGATTTTTATGGTAGTAACTTAATTACAGTTTTATTTCAGATGACATTTCAAAAGTTCACGCTTGGGTTACTGTGGAATGGTTACACGGAAGAGACCGGAAAGGGTGTAAGTTACGTGGGCGGCCATTTTTATAAAATGAAGGTCCGTATGAGACCGATGCTTGAAGAGCTCCATCAAATGTGCACTAAGGTTACCTGCATGGATGGCACTAGAAGAGTTGATCGTATGGTATATCGATATCCAAACAGACATGGTGGGTCGTTGTGGAATGAGGAATTCATCATTACCACTTAGGAGGATGTTGATGCCATGGTACAATTTTTGACCACCAATAAGATTAAACAAGTAGAGATGTTCGTTTACACCGAGGTGGTCGAAGGCGGTGTAGGTCATTCTGGATATGACCAAACATCTAGTATCCACGGTGGGAGTGTATTATACGCAGATCATCCCCACCAGGAGTACCAAGACCCGAGCTGGAGCCATGAGTATCATGATGGAACTGGAGGTCATCATCAATCCTTCCCAGCATATGAAGAAGAAGCTCAAAAGGCGGATGGGAACCAATAAGCAGGCTACCAGTGCCAACCCGAGTACAACTTCTACCAAAACGGTGTTAGTTACCACAACTACCATTACGGAGCTGATGAAGGTGAAGGTGCCTTTCATGATCTTGATCAGATGAAAGAAGATGTCAATCCAAGTCCAGTTAGTGACCCTGAGGTTGAAGAAGAGGAAGGCGATGTCAGTGCAGACAGCTTCGATCCTCTTGAAGGTGTTGATGATTCCAGTCCAGATTCAGACATAGATGGTGATGAGGTGCCTCGCGACCGTGTACCTATCTCGTACTACAATCACATTCCAAATGAAGATTGGTATGTTGATGCCGACATGGACCCGCTAGAGGTGCCAGTATGGGGTAAACTCACTGGCTTTACGAAGGGCCAACAATTTTCAACGAAGAATGAGGTCTGACACACTATTGCCACTGAAGCAATGACTCGGAGTTTTGAATGACACACAACCCATTCTGACACGAAGAGGCTCATGGTTAGATGCCAAAATCAAAATGAGGGATGCAAGGCTAGGGTTCGGGCCATCAAGAGCAAGAGAGTCGGCCATTGGGTCATATCCCGTGCGGTGAACACTCACACAAGTGTGACATCCATAACATCCCAAGGACATCGAAAGTTGAAATCAAGGGTGTTTGCCGCAGCTATCAAACATCTAATTGACGAGCAACCCGACTTGAAGGTTAAAACCATCATCGCCGACATTTCTAGTCGTTATGGATATATCATTAACTACAAGAAGCCATGCCATGGAAAACAGAAAGCAATGGTCGCCGTGTTCGGTGACTGGGAAGAATCATATGCATTCATTCCCAGATTGATTTTTGCTATGGAGGGGTCTAACCCTGACACCATTTTCTCTCCCAGCTACCAAGATGAAGAAATTCAGCCGCCGGTGCCTGGTAATATGGAAAAGTACACAATGTTAATACATACTAAAAATTTCGTTATAAAATACTGAATGAGTAAAAAAAAAAGGGTGAGAACTATGAGTGGGATAGAAAATATTTACCTACAACCATAAGCTTCATGTCATAGAGGATGGTCGGGTCCCCATTCCTTGTCGGGGTCTTCCTTCGGCGCAATCCATGGCAGATGCTCCCAAGCCCAAAATTGTACGATGAACATGGCCCCATCAATCTCCTTCACCGCTCTCGAACTAGCATTACAGAGGAAGCGGTAGAGATGAGGTAGGCAAGCATATGCCCAGCTCAGGTTCCCCATATCATCCTAATCTCCAAATATGATCTTCAACCAAGAATTGTTGATTAAATTGTTGGATTTTTTGGAGAAGAAAACTCCTCCGATCATGCCGAGGATGTAGATACGTGCACAAATTTCTTTATCGCGCTCCGAACTTTCCTCTGCGAGGGGAATGCCTCCGACCTTAGGGTTGTGCTTACGTCTGATCTTCGCTATCAACCAAGTGATGGATACTTGGCCCTTGGACAATGGTGGATTACCATCCGCATCGTGATCTCCCTTTTCTGGCGGACACAACCCGGTGACGGTCCATATGAAATGCTGCCAAGTGCCAACCACTCATATTGGCAAGGTTTCAACCCGCGGGTTGACCCGAACACGGTCGAGCTAGTGGGTCAAGGGTTAATGGGTCAACCGTTTTAGCCCGGTTTGGCCCGAAAATATGGAAAAAGTCATTATATTGTACTTATCCTCATAAATTATATCAAATCTTATCTAACATATGAGTTATAATATACAATATTGCACCAAAATAATATATCGTACTTAGATCCAACATATGGTGAAAATTCACACACACACACACTTATACAACATAAATATTCAAATGTTCAACTTAGGATTCCAAAGATTGAGTTAGGCGGGAAAAAATCGGAAAATAGGCGCATTTTGAAAATCAAAGAAAAAAATGACACAATTTGACCTCCCATCCGGTACCTTGTAGCGGTCGGCCAGGCGGGTGCGTGCGGCCCGTTTTTCTCACCAGTCAGGGTCAAAGTGGGTCGACCCGCGGGTTGACAACCTTGCATATTGGCAACAACTTTAGCTGATGGAGTAGTGTCCACACAAATAACATCATCATCGATGGACAAATCAGTGAGGATGGTGATATCCTTAAATGTGATGGTGCACTCGCCTTCACGAAAATTGAAGCAATGTGTCTCCTTTCGCCATCTCTCTACCAATGCTGTGATGAGTTGGCGGTCGATCTTTATTCCATTAAAGTGCCTAATCGGATTTAGTCGTTCCATTCAAGCACAGTATGTTTTCGAGAAATATACATAATTTAATAAACATTAATATTAAGCTAACTAAAATGAATACCATTTTTTAAATTTAAGTAAACTTATTTTTTTTACACATACACATAAAATCAAATATATTATTTTGTACTTCGTATTGATTTTTTTCAATAATTTAAAGCAATACAAGTACACTCGTAAAACTCTTAGGAGAGGTATACATCTCCTTAGAAACATAGTCTGTATAACAGAAAAATGGGGGATCCGAGAATTGCTTAGAACCCAATTTTTCCAGGTCATGGGAGGATCATGATGATCGCTTAAGACCCCATTTCCTTAGACATGCTTCTTTATAAAAATTCTAAAGAGGTGTTGTATTGTATTGATTTAAATTATTAAAAATAATCAACACGATTATTAATTACAAGTGATGATAAATAATATGTACCTTGTGGTCGTTCCAAACGTCTCTTGAACGATGATTGGATTGGTCGTATAAAATAGTCGGATCAATCGGTCCTTGATCAACATAATATCGTTGATTGTATATTTCTACATCCGGCCCAACCTACGATAGCATAACAACAACATAAATCAATTAGTTTATAAATTAAATAAAACCATTATAACAACAACAAGAATTGGGTAAAATGAGTATGTATCCTTTGATAGTCATCATAGTAAATACCATCTTCTTCGACAAAATCAACCATTTTTTCAGGATCCGGATAGAGATCCGACGGTTTTTTAGTGAAAACCGAAGAAAAGTTTTTTGAAGGAAAACCGAAGAAAAGTTTTTTGAAGGCAGATCGGACTTAGCCGCAACCAACAAAACAACTACTTTCAAGGTTTTTGGGTGGGAAGGGGATGAGTAGAGTGAGAAAGTTAGAGAGAGAGAGGAGATTGGTTTTGGTGTGAAGAAAATGAGAGGAAGGGGGTGGGTACTTATTGGGCGAGAACCGCGTGTTGGAGGAGCGGTTTGGTATTTTTACCCCACCAAAAATCGCGCCTCCAACACACGGTTTGCGTTTCCCAACGCGCAAACCACACCCCAGGGCAACGGTTATCAGTGGGCGACGTGGATCGCTCCGCTGGCAGGCGGTTAGACGTCAAATCGTCTGCCCATCGCGCGGTTGCATGGACCGCCATGTGAATGTGCGGTTTTGCAGCTTCCCAATGGTAAACCGCCCATTCCCGCGCGGTTTATGGGGGATGGTGGTAGTTTTGGAATTTTGACGGAATGAGTGGTACTTTTGTAAAAAAAAACGATGATAGTTTTGAATTTTTTTCCTCAAAGAACACTTATTAGAGATGTACTATTTGTCGAAGAAGATGGTATTTACTATGATGACTATCAAAGTGTATATAGTGGATTCTCTTCCACACACACGGGCGTATACACCGTCTGACTGGTCGATCGTGTAGGTGGGTGGGTTGGTCCGCTTGAACCTACTAATTTTGGGAAAATTTTGTATAAACATATATATAAGTTATCAGAAAAAAGGGGGAATGGCCAACAACCCTTTAATAAAATGTACTCCATTTTAATATATTTCACACAGGTTCCCATAAAAAAAAAAATTGTACCCCACTAATCATTCTTTACAAAGCCCTAGATTGGCGCATCCCCTGGATCAAACTCCAGGACAGGAAGAACAGATCAAGCGAGGCTTACGAAGATTGTCAAAGTTGTACATTAAGTACAAGTTTTTCATCAAATGGTTTTGAAGTAGACTTCTGCTTCATGAAAGGACAGAATAGTTGGTCCTCTCATTATGCTCTGTACATGGTATTTCTCCAACCAAAATGTCATGAATAGCAGTACATCAATTCTGAAAATGACTTGAGAATTCTGACCTCAATCGGACGACGTGGTCACAAGCGTTTGATACACGAAATAAACTGAGTTCAGAGAAGCTAAAGAAAAATGATAACTAGAACAATGTGCATCAGCCTCTAGTGATTGATAAGGCTCATCCATCATTCCTTCTCCTTTTTCTCCCCAGACAAGTACCTATGGCCAAGAAGGACATAAACCATTCAATCAAGGTACAATAACAGGAAAATGAATAAGATTCAGAGCTTCGGTAATTAAAACAAGCATTAGCATGGGAAGTTAGTTAACTTACCCTTGAGCCTTTGCCCACCGTGAGAACTGATACAGTTGGACAGTCTCATTGGAAGCATGACAAGCTAGAAGGAGATAGTTACGTGGCTGTACCATCCAGGCAAACCTCATGAACAATGCTGAATAAACACACATCGCTGCAGCACCAAGAAGGTCTCAGCATTAAGATCAAATTTAGCCAGTATACAACAACAAATGAAAGATATTAAAAAGGGAGGTGTTTTCTTAAGCCCTTCCACTCAGAAACTCCTACCTCCCGTCATATTTGCAGAGATCATCTCTGGGGGTTTCTGCATGTCTACCAGACCCTGTTAACACACATCAACAAAATTTTAGAATTTGATAGACAGCACACTGAAAGCATGCACAAAGCAGTCTTTCGGAGCATACAGCAGCCACAAATCCCCAATTTGCAACAGGTCCCCAAAAGTGCGTTGTCTTAGGACCAACAGGGCTATTCCAGAAAGCTTTGAAGGCAGCCATTTTATGAGGGAATCTGCTTTACACCACTGCAATGATCACAAACAAAATTGGATCATACATATCATGTTCAAGAAATGTCAACACAAACAATTGACTTCGCACTGCTTGTCGCTTCGAGGGAAGGGGAACGAGGGAATGGGGGAAGAGAGAGACAGAGAGAAAATACAGTCAGATGATTGGTTTTGTCATTGGAAGCACTGAGAGTGATGCATTCCTAGTTCTGAGTGAGCAGATGTTTCATATCACAGATCAGTCAGCTACGGTAGATACCTAAAATGGGCAATCATGCTAATGTATCTAACTGATTTGAACACCAAAACTCTTCCAAATTCAACTGGTTAACATTATATAGTTTCTCCAGCGGCAGTGTCAATTTGCATTCTACAGCATACTAAGTAGAAATTTGAACTTCAAGATGGCATAAAGAAACAACGATACCAATCATCTACAGAAACTGCTGCCATAGAAAGAATCCACGACCATACCAACTGAATCAATTCCTCAAACCCTTGCGCCTTCACCACCTCGAACTCCATTGTCAATCAGACAACAACAAAACAACTTCACCCCAGTTACCTAAACGTCCTTTTGGCCATGGAAACGATAGAACCAACACCCCAGATTAAGGTAAAACACTAAAAAGCACACACTCTTTGGTGCAATTCGCGAGCAGTCAATCAATCCCTAGTCCAATCTCCCAAATACGCACAACCAACCGAACAAACAAAATGAACCATAAGGAAAGGCTCCAGAACGAGGGTTCCAACCAGAAGAGACGCCGGGGCCTTAGTAATAAGGCCTTATTCAGCCCATTACCACCAGAGAGCAAAGCGATTGTCTTGAGACTTTATAGGCCGATAACAATTTAGGTGCCAAAGTAAAAGACTTCTGATTTCAACTAATGGTAAAAATTTCGGATTATTTAGGGCTCTGCAGGAAAAAGAAAAACACAGGTCGGGGAGAGAAAGGGCAAGGCGGAGGCGTACCTGAGGGAGAGATCGCCTGAGAAAAGTGAGCCGGCTGCCGGTCTCCCTGGTTGGTGGGGATTGAAAGCAAAGACAGGGCCGTCAATTTTGTCAGAGATATGGTGTCCGGCAATTCTATATAGTGCAGCCGGGCCAATGGCATCGCGGTAGCTACTTCCAAAATTATTTTAATTTATGTTATAGGTTATAAAAATAAGGCAAAATACACTTTCATAGTCAAATCTATTCGCGTTGTGACAAATATAGCTACTTTTTGAAAAATACACTTGTATAGCCACTTTTGAAAACTTGACTGGCAAATTTAGCCAATTCCGTTACTAACATAAACGGAAAGACAGACGCCGTCAGTAAGCCCTCCGTGGCGCTGAGGTGGATGTCACGCCGTTGCCACATCATCGCCAACTCGACATCATTTATCCACATGGTTTTTACCTTTTAAATTTACCTTCTTTATTTTTACCTTCTTTTCAATTCCACTCACTCCTCTAAACTGTCGACCATTATCAATCCCCATTCTAGGTTTTGCGAAGGAAAACCCCATCCACGCTGCCGCTCTCTCTCGATCTCGATCTCTTACCCCATCCATGCCGCCGCTCTCTCTCGATCTCGATCTCTTACCCATCGTCGTTGCCTTCTCCCTCTATATTCCCCATCGCTTTCTCCTTCTCTCCTCCCCATCGCCTTCTCCTTCTGCCCTTCCCATTTCCTCACTTCTCCCTCTGTTTTCCAGTCGCCGATTTATCCATGTCACGCAGGGTTGGGCGGAGAAACGTCGGAAGGGATTTGGGCGATTCTGGGTCAACGAACATCAAAAGTGAAGGTGTTGGTGCTGTCATTTGCAAGTGCAAACTCCCTGCTTTGGTACAAACTTCTGGGACTGAGTTGAACCCAGGCAGACAGTTTTATGGTTGCCCTAATTGGATGGTAAGCAAATCGTAGTTTCTATGAACTATTTATGACCTATTGTGTCTTAGGAACGTCAATTTTGCAGGATCCGAAATCTGGGTGCAATTTTTTTCGTTGGGTGGAGTCAAGTTCTGATATATCAGAGGCACGAAACAATGATGTTGACGGTATGATGATGAAGTTGGAAGAAAGCTTAAGGCTGGCCGAATCGAAGGCAGTGAGAATGAAGAAGGATAAGCTACTTCTGGAGGAGGAGTTATGCAATTGGGTGAAAATTGAGAGAGATCGAACAACTGAATATCAGAATTTGTATAATGGATTGCGAGTGATTCGATATATGCTTAGTTTCTTCTTGGTTCTTAATGTCTTACTGATTGTATTTCTGTGGAAGCAGTAAGTTTGTATCGATCATATGTAATGTGCACGTTGAAATTTGAAGTTGGTATGAAATTGAAAGTTTGCAAAAGATAGCATGGAACGATTGAACCTAACATAATCCTTGCAAAATCATCCCGTTTCTACAATAGTCTGGAGCACACATTAACGAGCATGATAGTTAGTTCCTGATTACATTCTGACATTTGAGTTCAACATCAACCTAAGATAGAGAGTTTCCTTCAGCTACACCTAGCAAACAAGCCTAAAACTTAACATAAATTGTCTTAGCAGAATTACATGAGTCGACAAAGCTGCTTCTAAGCAAGGGTTGGATGCCCTGTACAAAATTTGGACTCATGAGAAGTTAACTACACTTCTAAGGTTGGGTTGGTGGCGGCTGGCTCCCTGGCATATCCATCTCAGTAGGCTGGGTTGGAGGTGGATTCCCAACAAATCTCCCATTTGCCCCATTCAGCTGCATCCAACAGATTTGTTAAATGTCATATTAGTGATGACACAAGAAAAAAAGGTGTAACTAAGAAAGAAAGAAACCAATTACTCACCCTAACATATTGATTACCAGTGGTCTCATCAACATAAACACCAATTACTCTTGTTGCTTGACGAAGCTCCCTTTCAATTGTAAAACGATCGCCAACATTCAACCTCACATCCTACATTACAAACAAAACAAAACATTTAACCTAAGGTTTTTCTACACTAGTTAACCTAACATTCATCTACAACTTACACTAATCACTTACTTGTATTCCCACTCCCCTGTTCAATGGACATGTTCTGGCATTGTGTGTGGCCGAGCCACACTTGGAGCAGTGATTGCCTCTCCTCTGTCTTGGTTGACTCTCATTAGGTGGATTAGCAGCAGCTCCAATTCTTCTGGCAGCAGCAACTCCATTCCTTCTGGCAGCAGCAGCAGCTTCATTCCTTCTGGCAGCAGCTCCATTCCTTGTAGTCATTCCCTTCAAGAATACAACCATCGAATAAGTGACAATGTAATTTAAAGGGACAATGTGATACTATAAAATTTGGAAGTTTACCACAGTTCGAGCAGCAACAGGTGCTGGGCATGCCCTTGCATTGTGCCCTTCAGCTCCACATTTGGAGCAATGAACCAAGCTACCCCTCTGAGTTACTTCTTCACCAATCCTTTTTTTTGTGGTCTTGTTTCCCTCTCCCCAGCTGTCTTTCTTCTGTTTTTTTTTTTTGGGCGGCCTGGCATTGGTCTGTCTTTAGGAGGGTATACTTCGTACCCACTGGCTTCAGGCCATGCTTGTCTACCATCAAGACAAGGCAGCCCCACCTTGTAGCACTCCTCCACATTCCGAACAAGGTAGGAAGGATGAACATAATCATCCGGATTCTTCCTCAAGTGGCTGATAGCAGAAACTGCATGACAGCATGGCAGCCCACTCAACTGCCAATAACCATAGCTGCACTCCTTCAAAGTCAGGTCTACAATGTACCCTTCATCCCCCATTTCCACTTCACATCTCATATTGTGAGATTGTCTAGATACAAACAGCCTAGCAACCTCCTTCTCCTTCTCTAAACGTTTCCTAATTCTCGGACACAACTCATCAGTACTCCGGATTAGCATATTATACTTGATAACCACTATTTCCATCATATACCCCCTAATCCCTTCAAGCATCTCTATAATACGAAATCCTCTATACTTCACAATACTGCCATTCCAAGTCTCACATATATTACTCTCGACACTATCACATTTAGGAATTGCAGACAAGAAAGCACTACAAAATTTGGTCGAATCGGCAGCCATAAAGTCAGTAAATGGCGTTGGTCCATCACCATTACCTTGTATACTCTCCATCTCTTGCGTAGCCTTCTTCCAATCAGATTCGTTGCATGCATACACTGCCTTCCAGAACAATTTCCGAATCATGTCGGTCTTGTTCTTGACTTTCCAGTTGGCATACACATGCCTAGCACATTTTCGATGCTCCGCTTCAGGTAGTATTGAGTGGAGCGCTTCAACCAGACCCTAGTGGAGAGAAATAGGATTAGTATAAAACACATGAGAAATATTCAAAGTACAATCACATGAAATATTACTATACCTTCTGCTGGTGCGATATAACAGTCCATCCTCTACCATCAACTAAACCTAGTTCTTCAGTTAGAATATCCACGAACCACATCCAAGAGTTGGTATTTTCTCCTTCCACAACCGCCTAGGCAATTGGAAACATCTGGTTGTTTCCATCTTTACCCACTGCTGTGAGCAGCATACCTTTTACCTCCCCTTTAAGAAAACAGCCATCCAGACCAAACATCGGACGACAGCCTAAAAGGAATCCATCCTTCAAACAGGAAAAGCCAACATATAAGCGCTTGAATAAGCACTTATCCTCATCTGGGTGCGGGTCAACTTCCAGCTGGAAACGACCATCCCTATCCCTCTTCTTCAACTCAGCTACATAACTCCTAATCAATTTATACTCATCACTCAACGACCCACTTAACATCTTGATAGCCTCTACTTTAGCTCTGTAGCAAGTTCTCTTCTTCACCTCCATATTGTGTTTTAACTTAACCTCAGCCATAATCTGTTCCGGAGCCCACTCTGGGTTAATTCTGAATCTCTCTAACATATCTGAGGCAATCCACTTAGCTGTGACTTGGCTAAATGAGAGACGCCTTGCACATGAGTGTGGCAGCCCCACTTTCCTTATCATGAAGCACTTATCCTTAATGAACCAGCTTGCATACAACCTCCATTGACAATTCCCATCTTTACACTTAACCTCTCTCCTCGTAGGGTTGCTCCGAATCCATCTCAGAGGTGCACCATGTGCTACAGAATGTCTTATAACGCCATCTTTGAACTACTCTACCCCATCGAATTTCATTCTACATACAAACTCAAGTTTCTTATGGTCGCAGAGTGGATCATCCGTGGTGCATCATCATACAAATCACCATCCTCCTCATCTGATAAGTTGCCCCTTACATGATCTGATTCTTCTGACAATCTGTAGTTTGAATGCGGAGAGCCCTCCCCATTAACATCAACTCGAGGTGGCTGAGCTTGTTCAGGTACCTGAGGTTCTTCAGATGACTCATTGTTCTGAAGGGGAGTGGAGTGGTGTGAATTCTCACCATCATCTTGGCCTTCCTCCTCCCCATTTTCATAGTCAGATTCTTCAAATTCTAACAGCTGGTCTACTTCTTCTCCACCAGCAGCAACTCTTGCAATCACTTTCCTTTTCCTCCCTTCCCCATATGCACGTAGGTTAGCTCTAGCCTCGTGAAATTCATCATCTGATGTCATTGCGACATCGGAGTCATAAACATGATATATATCAGGAGCAACAGAAGCATCTCCAACATTGTGGCTGCCTAGCGAATCCTCATCATGACCAATCTGATTTGTGTCATTCTCGCCCACCAATTCATCGCACGAGTCTGCCATTTGTTAAGATAACAACCTTATTGTCATTATATACTATATAATTACATAATTAATAGTTAATTAGTCTTAAGTGGAACCAACTTTCTGCTTTACAATAAACAAATCGCATACAACAGGCTATCCACTAAAGAATTGCGAATCAAATAACCAATTTCAAAGCACATTTGTCGTCACTACAAATTGACTTTTGTATCAAATGTGATGAGCTTCTTACCGTTTGATTCAGGGGCAATCTCGCTACAAAGAGAAGTTCTGTGGTCCCTTCACGAACTTGTTCTGTCGCTCTCCAAGCTTTACAGATCGCCAACACCTATAAATAGATACCAAAAACTGCACTTTAATCAACCTCATTCCAGCAATAACATTCGCACACTATAACCCCATACTCTTGTCTTCACTCACCAGCCAAACGCGAAACAAAAATTAGGGTTCGCCGACCTCCCCTCGCGATTTTGAGTTCGCCGACCTCGCCTCGCGATTCTGGGTTCGCCGACCTCGCCTCTCTTTTCTGGGTTCGCCGACCTCCCCTCGCGATTTCTGGGTTCGCCAACCTCCCCTCGCGATTCTGGGTTCGCCGACCTCCCCTCGCGATTTCTGGGTTCGCCGACCTCGCCTCTCTTTTCTGGAATCAACCGACGGGTGCGACGAACGGAGAATAGCGACGATTGCCCGACTGAGACGAGTGATTAGGGTTCGCCGCTGTCGTCTATCGGGAGAGATGGGGGAGCTGTGTTTGACGAGAGAAGAATGAGAGAAGTGGAAGGGTAAATCGCGTGAATGGTAAAAGGAAACTCGATTAATTGGTAAAGTTAGATTTAGGGTTTTACCTTCTTTTTTTTTAATAATTTACACCTGTCCTGCCACGTAGATTAACAGCGTCCACGTTGCAAGCGTCCATTAGTCCAGTCAGCAGTCGTCAAATTCCCGTTAAAGTTTTGGACGGAATGGCTATACGAGTGTATTTTTCAAAAAGTGGCTATATTTGTCATAACGCGAATAGATTTGGCTATGAAAGTGTATTTTGCCTAAAAATAAATTCGTTGGACTACTGCTTAGACCATCTTCAACCAGGAGACCCAAAATTCCATTTTACTTCCAAAAAAAAAATGCTCCAGTAAAGAGATTAAAAAAAACACCCAAAGTTTGAAATATTCACTTTATTTCTAATCTAGTTTTGTGTAGATTTTATCATTTTAATTAGATTATTTGTTCATTATTTTTATATAGGTATTAATAATTAAGTAAGATACACTTTTTAATACCAAGTCCGAGTTCGAGGATTGTATTGAGAAAGATCCATATACATATTACCATCATCTCATGTTTGTTCTTCTCTTTTATTTCATTCGCTCTATCACTTGTTTCTCTTGCAACTTTACATTCCTCTCTAGTGATTGCTAACCTTGCTTGAGTGTTTGGTCTTATTTTTGTTCCAACTTTCTATGGAAGAATATGGAGTTGCTCTATTCTTCTTCTTTTGTTTATCCCAACTTTTGGGACGGTTGATCACAAAAGGGGTCGCTTGAATGTCGGGGCTATCACTTTCGCCAGATGGCATGCCCGATGAAGATCCATTCATTGGTGGAATGATTGGTACGGGGGAAAGAAATTGTTGTAGATACTTTAGAGACTCTTGAAGTATATCCCAATTGTAGGGCGGGATATTAATCTGCCTAATACGACAAACTATTGCGTCAACACCTGCCACAAGCCCATTACAGGGTGTTTCACCTCGGGCCCAAACCTAGACTCTTATATAAGGGGTTCAAGCCCTCCAAACAAGGGACTTCTTCCCTTCCCTCATTTCACCATAAAGGATTTTCTCCCCTTCCCACTTCCACCACTTGAGGTCTCTCTCTCTCTCTAAACTCTCTCTACATTCCATACACACTATTCTTATACCATATTAACTTGGGCATTAGAGCGTAGGTCATGGAGTCCTCCCCTCCTCCTCATAGATTCCTCGCCTCACAAAAAGATCGAAAGAGGAAGTCCAAATCGGAGCCTCAAATAATCATTGTTATCCACCTAGTTCTTTCTAGGCCTAAAATGTTAGGCGCCCACCGTGGGGTCATAATTTTGGAATTCTTTGTTCGGTTTCCTAAGGAGGGGGGTCTCTCTGTAAAGGAAAACGATCACAAAAAGCTTTAGGATAAGGGAAAATGAGGGATTGAGTGGGCATTTGGGATGCCTAATCTAGCTAAGAGGCAGATCGAAATGAGTTATGATCTTGGAGCTATATCAAATTCAAGAGCGTCATTAAAGACCGATTCATCTCCACTCTAAAGGTCAAAGCAAGCAGAGGTATGCGCGAGGGAGGTTAAAGGAAAGCTAGGAAATCCAAACAACTCCGGTTGTTCCAAATTTTATTTTAAGAAGCGAGAGAAACTGGCCATGAAAGCTGAGAGTTCTGCAAAATAAGGAAAAGAAGAGAGAGAACAAGAGTCTCCAGGTTAGTCACCGTATCATTCTACGCCGACAAAGCTAGTCGTTGGCATCTGCAGTTGATGACACTTTACTTATAGTGTTTGTCAGTCCTATTCTTGATACATTTTGCCCTTCTATTGAAGCATCTGTAGTTATTTCAATGGTATTTCTTATGTAAATCACAACTATTTGATCAATGAGCCTTTACCTAGATAATGTTCTTGTATTATTTGATGCCTTGTTGATATACTTTTAATGGTTTTGAAGGTATAAAGCAACATAAGGAAGATTTGGAGACCTCTGTAGGACCAAATGAGCTATAAAGAGAAGTTTAAGGAGTTTGCATGAGAAAGAAATGGTCCGATAACGGGGAAGTCAACTACAAGTTGTTAGAGTACATCCAGACGAGCCCATAGAATGATGAATTAGTCTCAAGCAACGGATCCAATCGTCTCTCCCCCAAGTTGCAGCCCAAATCGTCTGAAACAGAAGTTCAAGGATCAAGAAGCCCAAAGCACGAAGAACCAAAGCGGTAGGTCCAACTGACGCCATACTGCCGACTTCCCTTTGCCTTGTTGACAAAGTTTCCTAAGTCTTCAACCAAAATTAAAATTTCCTAAGTCTACTAGGTTTAAGATATTCTTGCATAGTCGGTTTAGGTTGTTTTAGGCCAGATTCTCCCCTATAGATAGAGGGCAAGGCTCCATTGTATGAGTAAGGCTACACAAACATACAAATCTATATAATACCCTACTCGAGTGCTTAGCCTAGTTGAAGTAGCAGGGTCTGCAGCTAAAAAGATTTTGTCATCATCAATAGTGGTACCTTCCTTTTCCTTTATGTAGCTTTTCGAAATTGAATGTAATAGGATGTGCTTTTGATTTTTGTTATGTGAATGAATGTTATAATTTCATCTCATGCTTGTGTTGGTTTATGAAGATCTCGATGCATATGATTATGTACGGATGCTTTTTTGTATTAGATGCTTATGATGGTCAGTGATGTTTCCTAGTATGAATACTCTCTTATCATCATTGCTTATGATTCTATTGTATGCTACTATATTTATTGTGCTTAGGATTGGTTAGATCGTCAAGAAATTACCTTTCTAGGAATACTCCATTGATGCTTCATAAGTAGAGATGGATTGATCACCCATATATGCTTCGAGTAGTATCAATGCTTGATTGTAAGATCATCGATGCTATATACTATAGTTATGGTTCATAGAATCCCACAATTAACTATATGATATCTTAACTTTCTTGTTCTTTATTATTAGGTAATGACATGAAGCGAAAGCATGCAATGGAATAGTTAAAAGAAAATATGATTATGAATTTTTACCACCGACATAATCAATTTGACCATAATCAATTTGATCTTTGCAAGTGGAATGGTTCTACCGTGGTACAACCAATTCATGCTGATTTCATGTCGGCATGCCAATTTTAACAAAGATTATGAGTAAAATATCAAGGGTTAATACCTTATTCTGGACCGAACTATACACATCTAATCAACTTTGGCCAGTAGTTTCAGAAATTGTTATCCGTCAAATGTACACCATATTGACTCAATTGGCCTGATTCGTGAATTTCTTTCAAATTAGACGGTGAACACCATTAACTAACAGTCAACACGCAATATTATTTCCTGGCCAGCCTAAAAATTATTAAATTTTTTGAAACCAAATTATGTTTCTTAATTTTAAATGTAAGCTAGAAATTAAAAAGAAATTCCCCTTCGCCCACATAGCCCCATCCTTTCCCAACCTATCTTCCTAAACGATCCATCACCGGATCTGCACCAAAGCCTACCATTGAAATCGTCGGTCTGGAGAAGGTCTCGCCGGTCTAGAGATCCATTTTTGGGTACACCGTCATGCTCACCCCCAGCCTCCCATCAAAATCGCAGAGGCCGATGGTTTCCATGTCGACATTCTCCGTTAATCCGATGACGTAAAGGAGATCAGACTCCCCCAGAGCGAATAGGTGGTCGCAAAAGAAGGCAAGGTTGGTGTTGGCAAGGCTGATGTCGATTCCGGATCAAAATACCGATAACGACTCTAACGAAGGTCAGCGCTGCGCGAGGGAGTGCGACAGGGAATCTGTTGAAGACGAAGAAGACATTGGGCACGAGAGGAGCTCCGGCTGCACACTCGATGAGGGTTTTTTTCTAGAGAGCTTAAAGTGGACAAGGCGAGGCCAATCAAGTGAGAGGGGATCTGGCTGGAGAAGAAATTGAATGAGAGGTTAAGAAGGGGTAGGGAGAGGAGGGAGGAGATTTGGTGGGGGATTTGGTCGGAAAAGTTGTTGGCATGGAGGTGGATAAGGGAAATGGAAATGGAGGAATGGAGGAGCGCAGTAGAAGAAGACAAAGGAAGAGAGAGAGAGGCCGACATGTGAAGAGAAATTAAAAAATAAATAGAAAAAATGATTTTGTTTTATCATTATTTTAATAGCTAAAAAATTAGAAAATAATTTGATTTTTTTAATTTTAGTGATGATATGGTATTGAGTTAGACCATTGACCGTTAGTCAACGGTGTTGATCGTCCAAACTAACAGTCAA